CCCAGCGGGCACAGGACGTCATCCGGACGTCTTTTCGACGTCTTATTTTGGTCCAGACGTCCGTGACCACATTTAGACGTCTTCTAGACGTCTATACTTGGTCAGCTAGAAGACGTCTCTATTAAGGAAAAACCTGACGTCCTACAGACGTCTATACTTGGTCAGCTAGAAGACGTCTCTATTAAGGAAAAACCTGACGTCTTACAGACGTCTAAATGTGGTTGTATCACATACAGCACAATACGCGTACGTACGTGTACGTAAAACGCTCATTACAGATGGTTCCTTATAATAAAATTTATTAAAATTTTCATTAAAATGTCGGGAACAATATATATTTATGAATACGGATTTTTTGCTATAAGTTATACAAACTAAATTATAAATATAGATATCATCACCAAATTTAGCAATATCAATTGATCACATAAGTGCTACTGATTATCGCAAATAAATGAAGAAGTATATGCGTCGATTGTAATATATAGCCCGGCTATATTTATTTGCGCTAGTAATTAATTATTGCCAGGAAAAAATGTGTGTAGCGCTATCGTAATGGTTTAATGTGTTTTGACACCACATGATGGCGCTGCGCGGTATCTGTTGCATAGCAACTCTGAGCAACCGGTGCAACATAGCAAAATCGGAAGGGACATTTGAATTTGTAACTGGTAAGTGAATTGTGTTTTTATTTAACATGTACATACTAACTTAGTTAAACTTACTGTAATACAATAGGACCTATTTCAAGTTGAACTGAATTACATTAATTACTTACTTATAATATTATTGAATTGATTGCCAATTCAATTGATGTCAATGATGAAATTAATTCTTTTGCACACTGACACTGTCAGGCTGTCTCGGCTAGCTCCAAGAATCGGTAGGCCTATTGCTAGGATTATAGTGTATATTGTGTATTATAGTGTATATATTTAAATAATTTATAGTGTAATTAGAATGTATATTGACGTTAGTCACACAGCCTGGTCGGGTTATGTCTCGGCTAGCTGTAGTACTATAGCCCGCGTTCATTAACTGCCGCAGGCTAATAACCTAACTAGATACAATAATGCAACCCAAACCCAGGATAGGATTACAACGCGAGTCTATCATATGCATGGTTTTCTTTGGAGGGACCCCTGAGTGAATCACTCAGGGCGGTTTGCTGGTGCGTTTTCAGAGACTAGAACTTCCAAACTGGGTTTATTCTAAACACGAACCTTTCTCCGCTATCCNCACACGCAGCACACACAAACGCTCGCTAAAATCAGGCATGATCATTTACACTTGCCTGTAATATGAAATGTTTTTAAAGAACGTGGGGGGACGTTGGCACACACATACAACATACAGCCACCACGCGGCGCGCACAACGCAGCCACCGACACGCAACCGACTGAGCGCACGCGCACTAACACACACAACGGCAGCGGCACTAGCTTTTTATGGAGTTGTGGACATCCACTTGTCATCTTCTAACCACGACAGACCCATCCGCTGACCGCTGTGGAGACGTGCGCGCGCCTCCATTTGGCGCAGTCTCACTGCGGGCAGCGCTTCATACTTGAACGGGTGATGCCCGCGAGCGGGTCGCTGTGCCGCATATCCCGCGAACTGCGCGTCTCATCCGCGCGCAGCGCTCAGGATCTACAGCAAAGCTGTGCCACGCAATCTTGTATCATGTCTCTCTGGTTGGTTAATTTTTCAGGTTTGGTTGTGCATCAGTCATTCGAGGATTTGCAACTATATATATATACTGTCTGAAATACGCGTGACAAGGTCAGTAATTCATCATGCATGATATATAATATCAATCTTGAGTACATAATAGGAGAAGAGTATGACACCGTTTTAACAGCGTTTTGCATAGTTTTCAACTTCAAATATTCTATCAATATGTCAATAAATATATTCAAACTTTACCTTGTTTTCGTCTATGATTCTTAATCATATGACACCACCAATTTACCTAAAAATCGTATGTGTTCTTCAAAAAAGTTCTTTGAATACGACACGGTTTCACAGTTTTCTGAAATCGGCGCATGTTTTCGGCGATAGTTTGACCAAAGTTGATATGCGGCGGCAGCACCAGGTTGTAACCAAGATACAAGATAGAGACACTAGAACACTAATCCCATAATAAACTTTCGTCGAACACATGCGGCCATTCCTGGAAACTGTTTGAAACCGTGTCGTATTCAAAGAAGTTTTTTGAAGAACTTACGATTTTCTTTTATCAACAGCCTCCTCACAAATGGGATAATGTCTCAGTTCAACATGTCAGCACAGCATGGAGTAAAGAGGGGATTTTCTAGCACTGCCCTCTACTCTGTTGTCACAGGTAAACTAAGTCAATCATGTTTATGAATGAACCTTATTGTCTTCAATTATTCTACTTAATTTCGTTATTTGGTTTTGTGTGGTGTAACTAAGTAAGTGTATATATATATGTGTGTGTGCGTGCGTGTTTGTGTGTGTGTGCGCGTGCGTGCGTGCGTGCGTGCGTGCGTGCGTACGTGCGTGCGTGTGTACGTTTGCTGTTGTGAACACCAGACTAACTTATTTTACCTTGCTTTATAGAAGTTGTGCATACTGGGAAGTTTTCAACGACCACGTGTGACATCAACACACATTTGAGGCAGTGTTTGAAGCATGCCCCAGAGCGAAGGAAGCAATAACTCTACTATATGAGAACTCTACTATATATATGTTAATATAATCAGGTCATGCTAACTATGTGGCAAATTTAAATTCTGCACCGATTGCAAAGTTTTCGTAGGACAATCTTGCAATTGGTGCCGAATTTAAATTTTAAATTTTGAGGAACCTTCCTCAAAATTTTGTTTCACATAGCAATGTCTACACTAAGGAGTTTTTAACCCAGGCTATGCTAACCCAGGTTATCTTTAATCTGAATTAATGTCAGGTAGCGTCTACATTTAAAAAGTTACATCATGTTCCTTGATCATTGTTCCGCACTGTGACGGTATTCTATTTCCATTTTATTTTCGTGTTTGTATGCTCTGTCTTGTATGTTTTGAACGCGGGGTAGCATGACGTAGCATATCTACATTAAATTTCATCCCGGGTTATGTGTGGTTAACCCAATTTGATATCACGATCGAGGTTTAATGTGTGTGTGTGTGTGCTAACCCCTGTTTAAAGTTAAACCAGAGGCAAGGTTCTAATGTAGACACTAGTTAAAAAACCTAATGTAGACGTAGTATTACACATATATATGTAATTAAGTCTGTCCGGTTTTGTTACCAATTCAAATATATATACACATTTTGCATAGTATTGGTCGAATGTACTCAGACCAAATTAGTAACTCGGTGTATTGCATGCACATTAATTGTAACATACACTGGATGAATTCTCAGGTATTGCTGAAATTATTTTTGTTTATATACTCATATATTATTGTGGTTATATAATTGTAAAGATGTTCTCTTCTTGCATTTTATAATGAAATGACTGTTTTGTAATGTTTTTAGCTCATCTGACATAGTCAGATGCAGCTTGTAGAATCGCTTGATCGTCCGTCCGATCGTCCGATCGTCCGTGCGTCCGTCCGTCCGGTGCGTCGAACAGTTGGCACAAATCTTAAACCGCTCGACGTACGGTCACGATATTCGACATCGGGGGGATCGTCAAAAACGAGTTGGGATGTCGAAGCTGGGGGTCAAAGGTCAAAGGTCAAGAGGTGTAAAAGAAGGGGAACATTTCACTGCCTTAACTTAAGGTATAGGAGGAATGGGCAGAATTGGCGGCACAAAATCTAAAACGGCTCCACCTAGCTTGTGATAGTCGGTGTATAGCATCAATGGTAGGAAAAGCCATCACTGTGGCCGAAAAATTGGAGTCAGCAGGTCAAGGTCAATGGGCACAGGGCAGATTTTAAGACATTTTCGTGAGGACATGGTCTGACGGAGCGATTGAAAAACTTTTTTGTTTCAGGCGGTGACCTAGCATTTTTATGGCTTTATTGAAAGGACCATCAAATGTCCCTTCTGCTGACATGCGAAGAGTAAGTGTCGGATAACCTTTTGACCCCTCAAGAAGGAGGTTAAACATGGATTTTTCACTGTCAACAAAGGACTGAACTGCTTTTGCTAGTAGAAATCCTCCCCCACCCATAGCCGTGTTGGAAAAGGCATTCCCCTCCTTCGTCCCACCCCTCCTCCACCCTCTCCACCCTCCTCCCCTACTCCCCCTCGCCCTCTCAAAGAGGAGGGTTAAACATGCGATTTGTTGACTCTGTCTCGTTAGAAAAGAATTTGACATGCCGCGGGTTTTGCTTAGTAGGAATCTATACAATGCCTGGAATGTATGAGGCTACAATGTCACAGTGAAATTTCAAAAGCTAAATTTGGTTAAAGAAGGTTTATGCTCCTTAATCGTATAATTTATATGGCATTCCTGTAGTGTCAGTATGTTACATTAAACGCATGCCAACTGGCCAGCTGGCCAGGTGGGGCTGCGCCAGTGCAAATGAGTGGCAATGTGTTGGGGCATTTTTGGCCTGCGTTAATTTGTGCAGGTGGCAGCTCTCTATTTGGGCAGCCTGTAAAGCGCTTTGCGTAGGTAATGGTATGAAGTGCTTACCGTAAATCTGTCTGCAAATAGTTGTTGCTACCGATGAATGGGAGCTTCCATCTTTAATCTGAAAGACACTTAAACGTATGCGCCATCCTCGTGGCAACGTTTCATACGATGCCCAACGAAACATTTCTTTTGAGAAAGGTTCCTTGATACCATCCTTCTGTGCATTCCACTATTCGGCGTGTATGTGACACATTTGGGACTAACAGGGTTTACTAGAAATCCCCCACACTTCCACCACAGAGTCACCGCAGTAGACCGTAGAATGGAGCGCTGTCGCTTATGCCGGCACTTGTTATGGAATAAAATTATATGAATTACAAGTTCTGAATTTTAAACTAAAACTGTTTAAAACATTATTACAATTGAAAAGCAATTGGCTTAAGCCTAGGACACACTGTGCGATTTTTCTTACGCTGGCCGCTTGCCGATCGATAAATACGGTGCGCGGGTCCGCGCGGTGTGTCCGGTCTCACGGCAGCGTATTTCGCACGCGATCCCAATACGCCCGGCTGATCGCTCGCATTCCGCATGTTGAATATTTACGCGCACCGCTTGCGTACGGCGGCATGCGCTTGCAGCGCAGCTAGCGCCAGCGCGCGCCAGCAATGAATCATCGTGTTCGAACGCGATTGTTTTTAGCAGGCCAATGTCGAGTGTAGCAACGAAGCCGTTGGAAGCGGTTTGACACCGTACAGTGTGGCCAGCTGTCCGCGGAACTGGTACGGCGTTCTAAATTCGTGAGGCGAACATATACGCTGCCGGCAGCGTACAGAAATCGCTAGTGTGTCCTAGGCTTTTAGCTACACGTCTCGCGTGAAATCGCGAGGAAATAGATGAGTTCTTTGGTTCTTGGTGCTTCAAGAATAATAATAAAAACGTCTGCGGAACCCATCTAAGTTTTATCGGCCCAGAGGGCCACATAGTAAACACATTTTTATTTTGATTATCGGCCCAGGAGGGCCACATAGAAAACCTGTTTTCTGTTTTGAAAATGGATTTCCGTTTTGATTTTGAAAATGGATTTGCTTTTTCAGTTTTTGATTTTGAAAATGGATTTGCGTTTTGATTTTGAAAATGGATTTGCGTTTTGATTTTGAAAATGGATTTGCGTTTTGATTTTGAAAATGGATTTGCGTTTTGATTTTGAAATTGCATTTTGATTTTGAAATTGCGTTTTGATTTTGAAATTGCATTTGATTTTGGAATTGCATTTTGATTTTGAAATTGGGTTTTGATTTTGAAATTGCATTTGATTTTGAAATTGCGTTTCGATTTTGAAATATAATTCCGGAAAAAAAATGAAAATTTCATTTTGATTTTGAAAATGCGGTGTGGCCCTCCTGAGCCACCATACTGCAGCGCACACACTCGTGTTTTACGTACGCACAACATTTTCACGCAGTTAATGTTATGGAGCCAGTGGCTTGTGTAGAACCAGCCGGTACGTTGTCTTGCCAACGTGACGTCACACTTCGGTACTGCACCCGAGGGCACCCCGAGCCGAGGGAATGGCAACCCGAGTCCACCGCTATCGTCGTGCTTCTTACGTTACTGATCATATCAACATATCTGACAGCGGACGTCTACCTTCTGTTTGCTTCCATCTAATTAATGCGCCGATAGTTCAGTGCAACCTATTATATAACCCACATGCACTGATATTTCTGACAAATTTGAGATTTTCTCGTAGACGAAGCCCGCTGCAGCAAATATTAGCAGGGATTACAGAAATGAAACGATACAACAGCATAACGAGTGCATGTAAAAAAGAACTTATATAATCAGCTATAACATTACAGGCAGCAAATTTTTCTCATCGTCACAACCATAGCTACAGATCATAGTCGTTCACAACCGCAATATAAACGCGGTCGCTAGAGCGAGGGACATAGGTACACAGTAAGCCATCACTACTACCGACCCACACACAGACTGTAACATATTGATTATACAACTTGCAACCTGCGCGAACAACCGATACACTTCAACGCAACATCTCACTGTGTAGCGCGCACACACGCACGCACGCACTCACGCACGAACACGCGTGCTTATTCAAATGAGGTATAACCGATTATTTAGCTTTAGCGGCAGTACGTTAGTTACACAAGACATGCGACACCATCCACCAGCGTTAACAAACATAAGACATAAGAGGGCCACTTGGCAATAGTTAGCACGGGCTTGAAGCATCAGAAACGCCACCTCCTACTGATGTATTAACTTATGAATCGCTACCAACCACTAACCTCCTTCGCACACGCACACACATACATACACGTACACACACACGCACGCACACACATACATACTCACACACACACACACGCTCGCTCGCACGCAGGCACGCACACACACAAATAACACACTACGCACGTTGCGAAGGTAATCTCCAGAGTAACAAATAATAATTACGAAAATATCAAGAATGGTCAACGACGCATGCTATGCCCTAAAGCGCGACAGCACAACCGTCCACCACAGCTGCACCCCACACGCTACACGCCTGCACTAGCCACCAGCGACCAACTATACACGATGAATGACACGATTATTATCGAGCTAATAATACGGCTTAAAAGACTGACAAATGTGGCGCGCCTAGGTTAGAGGCAACAGTAAGACTACCCAGCAGCGCACAGCAAATAGGCAGTAGCGTAGAATCACAAACGTAAAACCGTTGAAGTTTTATCTCGACCACACTATAATAAAAAAAAGTAGCGTGTCGTCGTTGCACAGTCGCCGAAGCCTAAAACACCATCTATAACCTATTTACAAACAGATTTTCATTCAACGCACACATGCTCGCTGACACGCACACATGCACGCACACATATATGTTTATATATATGGCGGTTTCATACATTTTCAACAGATAATAAAATTGACCTAAGAAACACAATACATGTTCGCAGCATGATAAAACTATACATTGCAACTACCTGCTTACACCGTAAAATGCGTATCGGCAAACCAGTCTAAGATATTCGCTCTCCCACTAACAGTTCTCTATCATCATCTTCTACACGGAGCCCCCCACCCAAACCAAATCATATATTAGACTCCCTGTACAGACTGCCAACTTATCATTACACACTTCACAACCTAGTAAAAAAGCCCAGTGCCTTCCTTCATCACGTTTCAGAGGATTCAAAGAAAGAGGGGGTGGAGAAAGAGAGAGAGCGTGAGCACAAGAGAGAGAGAGAGAGAGAGAGAGAGAGAGAGAGTGAGCCAGAAAAAGAGAGAGAGAGAGAGAGAGAGCGACAGACAGAGAGAGACAAGACATACGCATCTGGCGATCAGATCACAAACCTACTGGTCACTAATAATGTACGCAACAGTTTCTCTCTACTGCCTTCACGTTTAACAAGCAATTAATGTCGTGTGCTAACAGCACATTGAAAGCACTATAAGCAGATGTAGAGCGAACCACAAACACTGAGAGACAAGGGATGCGCACAAACACATGTTACATGCCATTTCGCTGAAACTTACGCATGACATAATTCTTCTGAGATCCTAGTAAATTGCTACGCAAATGTATATATGTACACAAATATGAACATTAGTGGCTTGTCAGTGGTATTTCCAAAAGGAAAACCAATGCAAGCATATAAAATAACAAACACAACAACGCTAGGTACAGTGTACCACACATCAGGAAGAGTCGAAACACACATGGCACTTACACATCAACACAGCAATATCGGTGGTCATGAAGCTGCCAATAGGAACTTTATACAAAACTTGCTATACGGGCTTTGGGGTGGGAACGCGTGAGGTAATCTATAATACAACAAGGGGGTCATCGCAGTTAAAAAAACAAACTAAAATCGCAAACCGAAAGCATCCCGCTCGGCATGGAGGCTGCCCGGCCGGCGCCACCTAGTGAGTGTCGACAGCGTGCACCAGTATGTCAGCGAGAGGGTGCGTGCCTGAGTCGAGTATGGTCGTGCCCGGCGGCTGCTGCTGCTGCTGATGTGCGCTGCCGGGGCGTGGGCGGGACCGCGCGATAGACACGGGCGCCGGTAGCTTGTAGACGTCGCTGGTGGCGCCGCAGCCGCGCGCCGCAGGGGCACTCACGTCGCTGCGTGAAGTCATGCTGTACACATCGCTAGCGGTCGGTGACGCGAGCGCGCGGGCCGTCCCCGTCCCCGCCACTCCGCCGCGCCCGATCATCAGTGGGTCAGCGTGCGGGCCGCAGTGCTCAGAGTCCTCGTGCGGCGTCATCGTGCTGTAGCCGTGGTCACTGTCGGCCCCCAGGGGGCGCCGGTACGTCGTGTTGATGCGGTACGGCGACACGCTCGCCGGATTCTCGAACGAGGCGAGCACGATGACGTTGGTGTGTCCCGCGGCGGCTGCCGGCTCTCCACCACCTCCTCCTCCTCCCGTCGGGAGATCCCCGTCGTCGCCGTCCGGCTCGTTGTCAAGCTGCGACATGCGCACAGCCGTGTCGTTGATCGTAGACACGTACTGGTGTGCCGAGCGCTGCACGTGGTGCCGGATGCAGTAGACGACGAGCGCCAGCACGAGGAAGCAGCCCATGATGCCGCCGGCGACCGGTCCCACCGGCGTGCTCTCCACCGTCAGGATGTCGGCCGAGCGCGCGGCCGCGACCGCAATCTCGTCTCCGTACGGCGACGGCGAGGCGAGCACGCCCCCGAAGCAGACGCGCTGCGTGTCACAGAATCCCTTCTCTAGCGGCGTGCGCCCGTCGATGTCAAATGCGCACCACTCGCAGTCTACGACTCCTACGCAGTCTCCCTGCGTGGGCAGCAGAGCGCAGTCGTGGGGCTGGCACTGCGGCAGCAGCAGCAGCGCGGCGTGGTCTACGCGCGCGCGCTCGGGATGCTCATCGTAGTGCGGACAACTCGGGTTGCGGTCCCCCGTGTCGAGCAGCTCGCCCGAGCACAGGTCCATGTCGAGCGGACACTCGCACGGACACTCACACTCAGTCTGCTCCATGCGGTGGCAGTTGAGGCAGAGTCGGTCGAGCATGCTGCAGGGACAGAAGGCAGTCATGACGCTGCACGTTTGGTTGACGACGCCGACGAACGCGTTGGTGCCGGGCAGCGCCGCGATCTGGTATCGGGAGCAGTGCTCTCCGTGCACGAGGTTAGTCAGCATGCCCGCGAGGCTCGTGTTGAACTGGTAGAAGCGCTGGATTGTGCGGTCGCTGAAGCTGTTGCAGAGCTTCTTGCGCACGAAGTGGTCGTGGCTGAGGATGTCGTTGGCGACGAGGGGCTCCTTGTGCGTGACGTGTAGCTGCTCCTGCGGGCCGCCGCGGCCTGGCTCGATCAGGTTGAGGTGAGCGATGATGTAGCCGCGGTCGTCGAACACGAAGCAGCGGATGTGCGGCTCCCCGCATATCGGCACGACATCCAGCAGCATCTTGTGGAAGTAGCCGACCGTGAAGTCGATGCCCATCACCGTGACGACGCGGTCAGCCGTGTTGTGCATCGCCGCTGCCTTGCCCTCGAAGATAGTGTGGCTGACGGTGACGACGTAGCCGGCGCCCCCTACATCGAGGTAGGGAGCGGTGAGCGTCACGTGACCCGGGTACTCGAGCGCGCGCGTGTACCACGGCCGCTTCGTCGGGTCGTACGTCTTGCTTGTCACTGTGCCGGGGAACATGACAAAGGCCCCGCTCGGCGTCGCTACGTAACGCCGCACCACGTACTTGGATAGCGCCGACGTGCGGAAGCGGCGCCGCCACTCGGCTCCGACCCGCGAGAGCGCGGCGACGCTGTTGCGCACATCTGGCTTCAGGCCGGGGTTGGCGATCAGCTTGGTGTCGTCGTTCAAGTACGTCGTGTATCCCTGGATGCGCAGCTTCGTCTCGGGCTGGCTCACGTAGACGAACGGATGCTGGAACGCTCCGGCTGCGAGGAACACGGTGCTGGCTTCGACCGTCGCGAGCTGCTTGAGGTGCATGCACAGCTGGTCGCGGGGGTGAACGTCGATGTCCAGCCGGTGGTAGACGATCGCAGGGTGCGTCGTGACGTCCTTCAGGATCTGCTTCTGATTCTTAGTGTCCATTGCGACGATGCAGACGGTGTAGGGCGTGCCGGGCACGCGACGCCACATGTAGACGGCCTTGTAGCGATGGTGCCGCTGGTACTGGTACTCGTATATCGGCAGCTCCTGCGCGCTGGTCGTGTTGTCGTCGTGACTCGTCAGCGCCAGCACGGCCTTGCCAGTGTCCTCGTGCAGCAGCCTCGCGCGGATCTTCTTGAAGCCGGGCTTGTTCTCGACGTGTAGGATGTCTGTGTGCATCGGCTGCTTGGCGGTGTGCAGGGGCCGGGTGAACGACGGGTGCATGATCGTGTAGCCATGTGCATCCACCATGAACGCGTACGACGTCTGCACCTCGTTGTAGTAGGTGATGTCCTCCACAATGTCCGCAAGGTGAACGTCAATGCCCACCGCACCAATCACCTAATAATCACAATAAGAATTTATTATAACAAGAGCCGCAGAGCGTCTGGGCTCATCTGGGGTCTGTTGCTACGGTTATGAACGTACAATTTCAGTCGTGCGTAGTGACACATTTGTTAGGCGCAGATATGCAGATACGCAGTTGCGTACACATCATTGTTAGGACACGCACGCTCACTATCTCACCCCCATGCGATTTTGGTTTATTTTATTAAAGGATACTTGCCTTTCACTTCGAATTTGTG